GTATTCGAGGGTATGCACACTGGGGTTTAGGGTTTAGGGTTTAGGGTTTAGGGTTTGTTGCATGCTTGGCGCTCTACGGGCTAGACAGGTATTTATCTAAGACTTTAGGGTTTAGGGTTTAGGGTTTAGGGTTTGTGGCCTTCAATACTCCCTTTGATTTACGGCAAATTAAACAATGAGGGTTTAGCATCTAGGGTCTAGGGTTTAGGGTTTAGGGTTTAGGGTTTAGGGTTTGTGTATCAGGCCGCCGTCAAGCCCGGGCGCTGCTGAAGCTGCTGCGTGCCTTTATGAATCTGCACGATCAGCTAGAGGCTGCGGGGCCCCCCGCGGGGGCCCCTGGGGGCCCCCCATCGTACCACTCCTTTGTTGCTGCTGCTGCAGCACACCAGTCGATAGGCAGCAAGACCAAACACACCATCAGCAGGAAGACCCTGGGGGCCCCCCTACAGGTTAGGGGCCCCTTTGAGCTGCTGAATAGATTGCATGCATTCTGCTGCTGCTGTTGCTGCTGCTGTTGCTGTTGCTGCTGCGGTGCTTGTGCTGCTACTTCTGTTGCTGCTACTATTTATATGTTGCTACTGCTGCTGCGACTGCTTCTAGTTTTGCTGTTCTGCTGCTGCTAGTGCTAGTGTTCGTCGTGCTGCTGCTGCAGCTCGACATGCTGCTGTTGTTTCTGCTGCTGCTGCGGCTCCACCTGCTGCTGCTGCTGCTGCTGCTGCTGCTGCTGCTGCAGGTGTTTTTGGTGGTGTCTAACTTTAAAGTGAGGGGTGCCCGGGTGACGGACGGCGTCGTCTCCTTCACGGAGACTGTGCTCGCGAGACAGCACCAAACCACACAAGTCAGCTGCTGCTGCTGCTGCTGCTGCTGCTGCTGCTGCTGCTGNTTTGCCTTTTTTTTTTTTTTTTTTTTTTTTTCGTGTTTGTATTGCATTTGTTGTTTTTCTTTGCTCTACACCCTTCATCACAATAAAAAAAATAAATGAAAATAAAAACAACAAAAACAATAAAAATAATAATTCCTATTGTGGGGTGTATGTACACCGCAGCGTGTGAAGCGGCTGCGGGTGAAGGGCCTGCTGCTGCCGCAGAGCCAAAAGGAGTTTCTGCGAGCTGTCTGTACACTCGAGAGTGCGGGGGCCCTCGCCGGCTGCTCCGTCTCCTTCAGTTTTATACAACAACCCCACCCCGGGGCCCCCTTCTATGAGCACGGCCTCATGCATTGCTACCCAGGACAAAGAGTAAACCCTAAACCCTAAACCCTAAACCCTTATGCAAACCCTAGCTTATTGTATATGCTGCTGCAGCTTCTGTCTCTGGTTTGTTTCTCCTTTTTTATTGTTGTTGCGGTCGAGCTGACGAGGGTTTGTTTGTTGCTGTCTCTTTTGTCTCTGTATCTGCTGCTGCTGCTTCTTGCTGTGCTGCTGTGTCTTTTGTCTCTGTCTCCGTTTTTCTCTTTTTTATAAACCCCCCTCATTCTCTAAACCCTAAACCCTCATTCAACTGTCTCCTTTGCCCCCTTTCTGCACACACACACACACACATACACACTAGGGTTTAGGGTTTAGGGTTTAGGGTTTAGGGTTTGTGTTGTGTGTAGGTTTGGCGTCACTTTCATACTTATGGGGCCCTCCTGGGGGCCCCCCTGTTCAGGGTACTGCGCTGCCTGGTGCCTGACATGCTGTGGGGGGAGAAGGCGCAGCAGCAGCGGCAGCAGCAGCTGCAGCAGCTTGCACAGGAAGCAGCCAGAGATGCTGCTGCTGCTGCAGCAGGTCAGTCCTCACACAAACAACTGCTGTTGCTAATGCTGCTCCTGCTGCTGCTGTTGCTCATGTTGCGCCTGCTGCTGACGCTGCTGCTGCTCGTGCTGCTGCTGCTGCTGCCGTTGCTGCTGCTCTTGCTGCTTCTCCCTGACGAGTAGTTATGTCTGCCGCAGTCGCCAACCCGAGCAGGAGCAGCAGCAGCAGCAGCAGCAGCAGCAGCAGCAGCGGCGCAGCAGCTGTGTGTGTATCATATGTTTGCTGCAGCAGCAACTCACCCTTCACAGCAGCAGCCTTTGTCTCTTCCCTTCGATAGCAGCCAGGGGGCCCGCGAGGCCCCTCCGGCCCCCACCCTGTTCTACTGCTGCCAGCCAGACCTCCTAGAGCAGCTGCCCCTTCAAGTTAGCTGCTGCTGCTGCTGCTGCTGCTGNACTGCTGCCAGCCAGACCTCCTAGAGCAGCTGCCCCTTCAAGTTAGCTGCTGCTGCTGCTGCTGCTGCTGCTGCTGTCTTCCTCCTGCTGTTGTCCTGCTGTTGCTGTTGCTTCTGCTACTCCTCTCCTGCTGCTGCTGTCCTGCTGCTGCTGCTGCTGCTGCTGCTGCTGCTCATTTGAAATCCCCAGAAGACGTATGCACTGCCTTTCAGCTGCTGTTCGCTTGCTGCTGTTGCTGCTGCTGCTGCTGCTGCTGTTGCTGCTGCTGTTGCTGCTGCTGCTATGGGTACAGCTGCGTCGTCGTTGCGTCACA